TTATAATAAATAATAGGAATTAAGCTCAAAATTGTAAATTTTCGAAAGAGATAAGGTGACATACTTTGCGTCCTCCCATTTAGCTTTTGGTTGCATATTATCGGTTTTCCACAAATAATCGCGATATTTTTTCAATTTGTTGGTCTCTTCGACATCATTGATATTCGAAATAAAATCCGTATTTCCATTGTTTCCATAAATAGCTGCCATATTTTATAGTGTATCCCTTAATCTGTTGATTGATTATACAGGATAAGATATCTAATCTATATATAGAGAGCCAATTTTGACTCTTTTGTGTGTAGTTAATTTTGATTTGACATATATTTTCTCTTTTTTTTCAGAAATTATAAAATGCATCTATTGTGTTATGGTGTTAATATATTTTTTTTTTTACTAAAATTTAGGGTTAGGATGCAACTACAGACTAAGATAGGAGTCAGATATAAAGGATCAAATTTAGTTAGCATAAGGTTTTTGGGGTTCTGAACATTTTTACTTAGTACACCTGACGCGAGTTAGCTAGTAGATTTTTTGAGATATAGCAACTATGGTGTTAAACACTAATGGAGCATTTTAGTACAGTAAGTCGTACATATGTTCTATTAGTAAAATTTTTAAATTAATATAAATTCTTCAAAAATAAAATAATTCAAAAAAACTTTTTTATAAATTTAAAAAAAAACTTTCATTGTTTATTTAGTTTTGAAGAAATTAAAGTTATATACAAGTTACTCTCGTTATAGTGAACCTTTGATATAGTGAATATTGGCTTATAGTGAAGATTTTTTTCAGAAACAAAACCAAAGCTACTGTATTAATATTTCACTTGATATAATGAAGTTTTAATAATAAACTTTCGATATAAGATATAGTAAAGATTTTTTGAAAAAATACAATATACTTATATATAAAATAATTTTTACCCAATTATATGAATTTAAATGTTTTTCGATATACAGTAGTGAAGATTTTTAAATTTATATGCTGTATAAACTTCATTATATTGAAGTTTTAATATAAAAGTCTCCTAATATAATAAAGATTTTATTATTTTAAATATAAACTTTACCATATTAAGAGTATTTGATATAGTAAATATCTCGATATAGTGAAGAGAATTCTTCAGTCCGACAACTTCACTATAACAAGAGTGACTTGTAATAAGAATTTATATATTTTATTAGCCAATAAAATTAATTTTAGTTAAATTACACAAAAATCAACCAATCAAAATGATAGATTTATGTTACACAACAGGCAACAATTTGGTGCCTCCATATGACTTTAGGTGTTTCCCCACTATATTAAATCCAAATTTTTAAACACAAGCTTTAAAGTATTATGGCCTTTTAAAATTATAAGTAAAAATCTATTTTAACTGAATTGT